GCTCAGAGCATGCCAAACCCTTTGGCATAGGTGATGGCTTTCAGCAGTCTCTCTCTCAGCTTGTCCTGGCTGCTGTACTCAGGCAGCAGCAGCACGTTGAAGCAGGTGTGGGACGTGGGTAACCTGCAGACACACAGGGCACAGGTAAAGGTCAGGTCAGGTAATTACAGGTCAAAGGGCACGCCCGGGTCTTTACATGCTGCTTTCAGCTCACCTGTCAGTGTCAGGTCCATTCTTGGCGATGATCATCTTCAGCTTGCCCAGCCCACCCACTGGTGCTCTGTCAGTGCCGGTGGTGAACTGCAGGAAGAGGCGCTTCTGCTCCTCACTGAACGAGTGCAACGTCTCCCAGAACTCCCTGCAGGACAGGAGGGGGGCGGGAGGTGAGACAGCAACATGTGAGACACCATCACGTGAAACACCATGACGTGAGACATCAACACGAGAGACATCAACATGTGAGACACCAACACATGAGACACCATCACGTGAGACATCAACACGTGAGACACCATCACGAGAGACATCAACACGAGAGACATCAACACGAGAGACATCAACACGTGAGACACCATCACGAGAGACATCAACACGAGAGACATCAACAAGTGAGACACCAACACGTGAGACATCATCAAGAGAGACACCAACACGTGAGACATCAACACGTGAGACATCAACACGTGAGACATCATCAAGAGAGACACCATCACGTGAAACACCATGACGTGAGACATCAACACGAGAGACATCAACACGTGAGACATCAACACGTGAGACACCAACACGTGAGACATCAACACGTGAGACACCAACACGTGAGACACCAACACGTGAGACATCATCATGTGAGACACCATCACGTGAAACACCATGACGTGAGACATCAACACGAGAGACATCAACATGTGAGACATCAACACGTGAGACACCAACACGTGAGACACCAACACGTGAGACATCAACATGTGAGACACCATCACGTGAGACATCATCAAGAGAGACACGAACACATGAGACACCAACACATGAGACACCATCACGGGAGACATCCTTCACGTGAGACACCAACACGTGAGACATCAACATGTGAGACACCATCACGTGAGACATCATCAAGAGAGACACGAACACATGAGACACCAACACATGAGACACCATCAAGAGAGACACCATCACGAGAGACACCAACACATGAGACACCATCAAGAGAGACACCAACAGATGACACACCTACAC